GTTCTGTGGCTGCACTGTCCAGGACGGCGCCCCTGTCCACACTCGGGCTCTTGAAACTGCGGCCAGCGCCTGGCTGAATTTTTAATTTTATTTAGCTCATTTAAAGGCTAAATTTCATTCAAATGTGAAGTTTTATTTAACTTAGCTTATTTAAATTTAAAAAAATCAATACTTGATTCTGTTATTGGAAAACTCTTTTGTGTGTTTGGAATAACTTGAGGTTACGAACCTACATTTTCAGTGAGTCACTTTGTGAAACGCACCTCTATAGATCAAGCATTTCTGATTAAATTTTAGCATCTGAATTGAGACAAGCTGCACGTGTAGGAGTACAATGGCACTTTAGAGGCATAGTGTGGTAAACATCCTCTAGAGGATCTCATTAATTTTTTTTTAGTATTGCTTACATGGTGAAGTGAAGTTTTTTAATATACGGGAGTAAGTAAAATACATTGACTTTCATGTTTCTTTTTACAGTTTTAGAGAAAATTTAAAACGCCATGTGTAGCTCACATATTTCTATCAGATATTGCTGCTGTAGATCCTACACACCCTGGTCATCCAGCATGATGAGCTATAATTTGCCATCGCCCTTGACCTTCCAGTGAAGTAGGCAGAACTGAATACTTCTTACTGCATTGTTTGTTTAGGTTTCAGTCCTGGCATCACCTCCTCCTTGATTGTCCCAGACCCAGTCAAATAGCTCATTTTTTTTCTTTTCTTTTTTTTATTGTTTAAAGTATTACATATGTCTCCTTATTCCCTGATTGACCCCCGTCCCCCGCCACTGCCACCCCCCAGGACAAGCCCCCTCCGCCCCAGTGTCTGTGTCCATTGATTATGCTAATATGCATGCATACAAGTCCTTTGGTTGATCTCTAACCGCCCCTCGCCTGCCTTCTCTTTTATTTATTTATTTATTTATTTATTTATTTATATTTTTTTAAAATATATTTTATTGATTTTTTACAGAGAGGCAGGGAGAGAGATAGAGAGTTAGAAACATCGATGAGAGAGAAACATCGATCAGCCGCCTCCTGCACATCTCCCACCGGGGATGTGCCCGCAACCCAGGTACATGCCCTTGACCGGAATCGAACCCGGGACCCTTCAGTCCGCAGACCGACGCTCTATCCACTGAGCCAAACTGGTTTTGGCCTCTTTTTTTTTAGTATTGCTTACATGTTGAAGTGAAGTTTTTTTTATACGCTGGATTAAGTAAAATACATTGACTTTCATGTTTCTTTTTGAAACATGAAAGTTGGTTGGACAGTCTGTTCAGTGTTACCTTGTCTCTGGATCTATTTTTGTTCATCCGTTTATGTTGTTTATTATATTCCACAAATGAGTGAGATCATGTGATATTTATCTTTCTCCCACTGGCTTATTTCGCTTAGCATAATGCTCTCCAGTTCCATCCATGCTGTTGCAATTGGTAAAAGTTCCTTCTTTTTTATAGCAGCGTAGTATTCCATTGTGTAAATGTACCACAGTTTTCTAATCCACTCATCTGCTGATGGGCACTTAGGCTGTTTCCAAATCTTAGCTACTGTAAATTGTGCTGTTATGAACATAGGGGTGCATATACTCTTTCTGATTGGTGTTTCTGGTTTCTTGGGATACGTTCCTAGAAGTGGGATTACTGGGTCGGTTAAATGGCAGTTCCATTTTTAACTTTCTGAGGAAACTCCATACTGTTCTCCACAGCGGCTGCACCAGTCTGCATTCCCACTAGCAGTGCATGTGGGTTCCTTTTTCTCCGCATCCTCGCCAGCACTTGTTGTTTGTTGCAAATAGCTCATTTTTATGAACTCTTCTAGCCCATGGAACTCTCCTCGATGGCATCCTTCTCAGTTATGTTTTAAGTTGTTTTGGGTAGTTCATAGTGACTCCCAGTCTGTGAGGTCCAGGGCAGCGTCTGTCCTATTCCCTGTAGAACTTCCAGTACCGGGAGTAGCGTCTGGCATGGAACAGGCCTCAGCAGATTTTTGCTGAAGGAGTGAATGAAGGAAATTCTCTTTAACTGTCTTTCTCCAGGTTGTCATTACATGACAACTATTTCATTGTTTCCTTAAATCCAGTCCACATGCTTCTTCATTAGGCATATTTTTGAAAAAACAATTATGGTAAAACCAACATAGCAGTTACAGCACAGACTTTGCGTTTGATTGCAGGATTGCAATCCTAGTGGCACCATCTCGAACAGCCTGTGTGAGTCTGTGAAGAGGACACCTCCTCTGGGATGATTGTTAGAATTCAGCGAGAGAACATGTGCTCCAGGGCATGGGCCGAGTGCACGGAGAAGGTGCTCAGAGCAGAAAATACTCGCCGTCACCAGGGTCCCTGCCGCCTCCTGTGTGTGAGGTCTTAGCTGCCACTTATTAAAAACTTGAAGCATCCTTGGTTTCCAACTGAGGCATTAAAAGCCAGCAAAGGCCCTACGTGTATGTGTTTCTGGCACCATGTCTGACATCCTCTGGGTAATTTCTGTCTCAGCAATAAATTTGTCTATTGTTTTAGACTAATAGGGACACATGTGGCTTTAATGAATTGAGTTAGAGTTATTGGAAATTTACAAAAAGGCAAGTCTTTATTGTCCCCTATAATTATAGTCATTTAACCTTTTAAAATCAGTTTATTGAGCTATATATAATTCAATAGCATACAATTTACCCATTTCACGTTTACAATTCAGTGGTTCTAAGTACATTCACAGAGTTGTGCAACCATCACTACAATCAATTTTAGAACATTTTCACCTTTTCCAAAAGAAATACCATCCTCTAGCTCTCACTCCTCAGCCCCTCGAACCACTAATCTGTTTCTGTCTCTCTGGATTGCCTGTTCTGAACATTTCATGTAAATGGACTCATACCCCATTGTGGTCTTGTGTGAGTGGATTCTTTCACTGAGCATCATGTTTTCAAGGTTCATCCATGTTGAAGTGAGTGCCTGCTTCATTCCTCGTTGTGGCTGAATAATCTTCCACTGTGTGGATGGATCACATTTTGTTTATTCATTCACCAGTTCAATTAAATTTGAATGTCATATAATCAATGAGTACTTTCTTACGACCTAAGTACCTTATATCCCATGCAATGTTTGGAATATACTTATCCTAAACAATTACTCATTGTTTTATCTGAAATTCAAATCTAACTGGGTATCCTGCATTTTTATTTGTCAGATCTGGCAACCGTGCCTGTCACTGGCGGACTGTGTGCCCGTGGGTGATGGGCTTTGTTCCTTGGAGGTCCAGCTTTCCCGTCTGGGTGGGGATGGGGCTTGTAGGGAGGTGTCAGTTACTCAGTGCCCGCAGAGATCTGTGTGCGCGTGCTGTCCCGGGCTTGGGTGGTGTGAGTGTGGGGCTGGAACTGGTGTCCTTGTCCTCTGCGAGGTGCCTCCAACTTCCTAATGAGGGAGGGAGCCAGCGATATGTGTTTTTTTCTTGATCCAGCCTAATCTGTTCGGAATGTGACCCAGGAACATTCTTGCTTTGTTTTCCTCAGAGTTTTGCTCGGCTGTTTGCTTTCTAATTTGTGCTGCTTTAGTCGTCATTCTCAGGGTGCATTTTCAAAAGGATTTTCTACTCTTCTCTAGAACAATCTGTTTGCCTCAGAGATAGGAAGGGAAGGGTTAGTGTCTTGGAATACAGTAAGTATAGGTTATATTCTGAGCCTTATCGTCCAGATGCTGAGGGCTGTGTGTGTGTGTGTGTGTGTGTTGGCAAGGAGAAGCTATCTAAAGAGTTTGATTCTGGTGAATGTTAACTCTAGTATAAGGGGCACAAGAAAAGGACTTTGATAGCCAACAAGGCAAGGTCTTCCCTGTCCAGTGCAGTAGCCACTAGCCTAATGTGTCTATTTACATTTAAATTAGCTAAAGTAAAATGAAATACTCAGTTCCTCAGTCTTACCACATTTCAAGAGCTTGAGAGCCACAAATGGCTGGTGTCTCCCTGAGTGGAGAGTACAGAGACAGGGCATTTCCATTACTGCAGAAAGCTGTTGGACAGCACTGGACCAGGGCTGGAGTGCCAAACTACAGCCAGAGGGTTCAAAACTCTGGCCTGCTGCCTGTTTTTGTAAATAAAGTTTTATTGGAACAGCCAATTTCATTCATTCACATATCATCTCTGCTGCTTTCGGGCTGTAATGGCAGAGTGGAGGAGTCTAAATGCAGACTGACTGCGAAGCTGAAAATATTTATTATCTGAGCCTTCATAGAAAACATCTGCCCAGGCTTGGGTTAGGGGAATGAAGACACAACATCTAGAGATGGCTGATAATACTTGGGAGAAATAGACAATAACAAAATAGCTGACATTAATAAGCACCTACTATGTGCCAGGCACTGCTTGTGGGCCTAACCTGCATTATTTTACTCACACGTTGGACACAGCCTTGGAATCGTGTGAGAGTGGTGGGCTGGTCTGTTTAGTGTGGTGCAGGGGAGGGAGGGACGAAATCTTGAAGGCTGCAGGAGGAAAGTACAGGGTCATGGGCAGCTGTGGAGGGTGTCAGAGCCTGGGGGGGACCACCTGCAGGAGACTGGGCACACTGGGTGTTTGTGACGGAGAGATCAGACTTGCTGGAAAGCCCTTGCACTCCCAGGTAAAAGGTGATGAGGCCTTGGCTTCCTGCCTGGAAGGAAGGCAAGTTGAGGGGAGTCAGTGAGGTGGGAAAGTGACAGATTCAGCTCTCCTTGTGAGCACCTGATCCCCATAAATCCGTTTCCTGAATATCTTCACGTTGACTCAGTGGAGACGGCTCCCCTCTCCCCTTGTGGGTTACATAATCCCCTGTAATCCCTCCCAGTGTCTCCATTATGTCATATTCCACGTGATGACATTCAGGCTTCTAACAGGTACTGCCAAAGGAGTTATTTTCTTTGCCTTTCAAAAGTAAATACTTAGACACAGACACTGCAGGGAACACTACCAATCAGGGTTGGCTATGGCATTTGTCGGTCTCAGTGCAGAATGATGTAAGGATTTTAAGATGTATGGGAGGGGATTTAGCCAAGGGCAGGACCCTCTGAGCAATGCCCTGCTCTTAAAACCCACCATTGTGTGTTAGCTCACCTGTCACACTTTCTGCATATTTTTACTCTAGTGTGTCCCAGCATGGATATCCGGAACAACTTCACGAGGCTGTATGAGCTGGCTAACTGCTCGATCATCGAAGGACATTTGCAGATACTGTTGATGTTCACTTCAAGGCCTGAGGATTTCCGAGACCTCAGTTTCCCCAAACTCATCATGATCACTGATTACTTGCTGCTGTTTCGGGTCTATGGGCTGGAGAGCCTGAAGGACCTGTTCCCCAACCTCACGGTCATCCGGGGCTCCCGCCTCTTCTTCAACTACGCGCTGGTCATCTTCGAGATGGTCCACCTGAAGGAGCTGGGCCTCTACAGCCTGATGAACATCACCCGGGGGTCTGTCCGCATCGAGAAGAACAATGATCTCTGCTACCTGTCTACCATCGACTGGTCGCGCATCCTCGACTCGGTGGAGGATAATTACATCGTGCTGAACAAAGACGACAATGAAGAGTGTGGGGACGTCTGTCCAGGCACTGCGAAGGGCAAGACCAGCTGCCCTGCCACTGTCATCAACGGGCAGTTTGTCGAACGGTGTTGGACTCACAGCCATTGCCAGAAAGGTACGCCGGGGTGTGCAGGGGTCTAAGCTTTTCTCGTGCCTTGTTTGTTAGAGAAGCTGGAGGCATTACCTGGACCAGGAGTGGCAGCCCTTTTCTGCAAAGGCTCAGATATGAAATGCTTTAGACTTTGCAGACTGTATATAAATGAGTGTACATGGCTGTGGGTGAATAACTTTATTTACAGCCCCAGCTGGTTTTGCTCAGTGGATAGAGTGTCCGCCTGTGGACTGAAGGTTCTGGGTTCAATTCCACTCAAGGGCATGTACGATGTGTCTCTCTCACATTGATGCTTCTCTCTCTCCGTCGGTCCCTCTCCCTTCCACTCTCTCTAAAAATCAAATGGAAAAATATCCTCGGGTGAGGATTCTTTCCAATTTTCACAAAGAGAGGGATGAACAAAGCTTAATGGGGAATTTGTTCCTTTAAGCCTTGCTTTTCCAGGAGTGACATTTCTGGGTCAAAGGTTCTTGATCCTGATTGCCAAATGGCTTTCCGGAAATGCTGTGCCAGCGGAGCTCTCAGCATTGGTGTGGAGGGACACCTGGGCCAGCTCTGCGTGTTTGAGAGAATCTTTCATAATTCACTGGAGGGAGGAGCCGTTCTATTTGCATTTCTTTGATTGTTATCAGGGTTGAACCTTTTAAAACATGTTTGTCCTGTGGGTTTTCTCTTCCTGTTCATGTCTTTTGTCCCTCTGTCTTTTAGGACCTTGGTGGTGTTTGAAATATTCATCTGTGTGCAGTTTCCATAGAGGCAGGCTATTAATCCTTTACCAATTGTGTTTTTAGGCATTTTGTTCAAATGCTCTAGATGTCTGTTGACAGAAACTTACAGGGTTGATTGAGTTCAGAGCTGGATTTGCACACGCCTCTTACGTTACTTTATGCTTAGAGCGTTCCTTTCTATCCATAAAATAAATGTTTTTTCCCCAAATTTTCTATTTCCGTTATCATCATTAAAAAAATTACCTTGGACATTTGGGATCTATTTGTGTATATGATTTGAAAGGATGTCCATTGTCCCCAAAATAACAAGTTGGCGGGGTCTTAATGCTGTTTATTGCAGAAATGTACCCCTTCATCGTTGATTTGGGGTCAGATTCTAGGTAGTCATAAATATATCTGTCTTTCCTTGCACCAGGGCCGTAACTGTTCTAATCCCTGTGGTTTTATAATGTATTGATATCCAGGGTGGGAAGTTCCACATAAACACACTTGCTACTTGTTTATTGTCTCCTCTACCCCTTACTACACTGAAATTCCCTGGGAAGAATTAGTGAACATGGGATTGAGGTGGAAGAAAGTGAGTGGAAGGCTTATGGGTTGTATCATAAAAGATAAGGAAAGGGAAAAAGGAGGGTGTGAATGTGACCCACGTCCCGCGTGGTTCAGGGTTCAGGCTCTGGAAGAGGGACCGCCCGCAAATGAAAGAGACGAGACAAGAAATAATAATTTGGAAATTGGGGTGCCAGGCGAGAGCCCATTCTAAATGGATGGACTCGGCTTGTGCTCAGGCCTCGCCATCCTTTTATTCGGTTTGGGATCCACCTAAAGCCCTTAGGCAGGCAAGTTCCAGTAACAGACAGACTGTCTTATCAGTGAGGATTTACGTGACTATCTGGTGGGGAAGTTGCTTCCGCTACCATTGTCTGGACTAAACAGTGGGTGCACAGCCCTGACCTTTGCCAGGGCTCAAGGGTCACCGGCCTCCCGGGCTCCTTGTCCACACCTCTCTGCTAGAGAAGACAGTGGGCGGCTTCCCACATCAGGGTCTTCTCACCCGAGCCCAAAGCTACCACGAAGCCCTGCAAGGCGAGTCCTGAGTAGAATCTGTGGAATTCTCAGTGAGGACTCCATCGGAGCCCCAGGGTGGTAGGAAACATCTGTGAGATGGTGAGAGAGTGGGACCGCCACACCTCTTCTGAGAGGTCGGGCAGCGACGGGAAAGAGACGCTGGAAGTTTGTGGTTGGAGGAAGGGATGATGGTTAATATATTGTGGAAAAATCTTGAGAATGTTGGTAGGTCAGGGACAGAGAGAAGCTAAACTACAGCTGCAAGGGGAGCTCTGTTATCCTTGATTTAGAGACCAGTGAGGTTACTTAACTTGCCTAAGGCCACACAGCTAATAAAAGACCGCTGGGGTTTGCACCAACTTGGACACAAAAAAGCATGTATGTTTTTGTGTGACCCCTTTGTTCAGAAACGTGAGAGCCACTTCTGGATGGGGCGGGGGAAGCAGGGAGAACAGTGAACACTTTTACCCCAAGGCTGAGTTCTCCAAATGCCCAGGGCTCATATGTCTTGGGATATAATTGGAGGCATGCTTCTGTGGGTTTATTTTTGTATCCATTTTAGTCAAAATATCCAGGACCGCATTATCAGCAAATGCCCTGATATTTTCAGCAGGCTTTTTATTTTTTTATTTTTTAACTCTTTTGCGTTTGAGAACAAAGCTTGTTTTTCAGCACTGGGGGTTGCATTGCTGTGACTGACACCTGTGAGGGTTCTGAGCTCCTGGCATCTGGGCACGGTGCAGTGGTCCTGGTTCATTATCGGTGGTGGGGTCCCGTGGGTGAAGCGTTGCCCTGTCCTGGGACAGATGTCAACAAGTGATTGTGCTTTGAACTGGTGTCCCTGTCTGGTGAGTACAATTTATTGTAGTAAAATACACATAATATAAAATTTACAATTTTAACCATTCCAAGTGCTCAGTTCAGTGGCACTAAGTACGTTCACACTGTTGTGCGTCCATCTTCACGATCCAGCTACAGAACGTCCTCATCTTCCCAGACTGGAATTCTGTCCCCACTAAACACTCACTCCGCCTTCCCCTCTCCCAGCCCCTGGCTCGCGCCCTCTGCCTTCTGTGCCTGCGGATCTAACTCCTTTAGGAACGTCCTTCGAGTTGAGTCCTGCGACAGCATGTGTCCTTCATAACTGCTCATTTCACTGAGCATACTGTCCTCAAGGTTCACCCATGTTATAGTCGGTCCGGCATTTCTTTCCTTTCTGAGGCTGAGTGATGTTCCAGTGCACGGTTGGACCACATTTTGTTTCTTCATTCATTCATGGCTCTTGGGCTACTGCCACGTTTTAGCTATTGTGATGAATGCTGCTGTGAACATGGTGTATGTCTCCAGCTTTTTAAATGCTGCTGTGGCTTCAGAAGTTATGGTTACATTTCGTGGGGTTTCTGAATGCAAAGCAGACTGAAACGAGCCCTCGGAAGACACCCCCTGTCTCAGGAGACAGATGCAGACCTGAGAAAACTGACAGCTCCTCTCGCCCGAGAATCCTCCCAGAGAATCCTCCCAGACACGTCCTCGAGCTTCCGTTGTCCTTTTCTCGCAGGCTTGCAAGGCTCTGGGAGCTCCTGGGGCCCGTGTGCCTTTGGGATGAAGGTGTTCGGCCGTCCTCCGGACCGAGCTTAAGCGTTCTCTGCAGTGGCCCTTCTTCCACCCGGCCCTGAAACGAGAATGCTTTAGGCAGGAGAGCAGAGGAGGGTCAGGGGAATTAAAAAGAGAAAGTCATTGGTGTGTGGCTCCACATTCTTCTTCTCCATCACTGTCTATAGATTTTGGCTGAAGATGCCGAGAGGCCAAATACAAGGAGCCCTGCCTGTGCCGGAGGAGAAGCCCGATCAGGAAACATGCTCATCGAGAGCGGACTGTGTGCTAGGCATTGAGGGGGGAGGGAGCTTGGGGTCCCAGGAGGGCCAGCCCCTGCCTCCTTGGAGAGGATCTTCTGGTGGCAAATACACTGCGTGCGTGATTGAGTACCTTGTGGGGAGAGTTACAACAGTGCTATCTCTGCGGGTGAAGGCCTGATTGAAGCCTTAAACTCATCCTTGGGGTCACAGAATTGGCCTCACTGGTCTGTTCCAGAGTGGTCACAGGATGTGTGGGGTCTGGCAGAATTGCCCTGGAGTCCTGTCAGCCATGAACTGGTCATGATCTGGATCAAGCCTCAGGCTTGTCATTTGAAAAATGGGAATGATTTACGGGACCTGCTTGTTAGGGTTATGGTTAGGGAGTTAAATGAGATGGCGCAGGAGGTGCACTTAGCCCAGTACCTCTGTGAGTGTTCTGGAAGCTTCTCCTAAGTGCCATTGGTCCACCACTCTTTCTGGGCAGACAAACCACTGAGTCAATGAATACCTGCCAAGTCTTGGCTGCGTTTCTGGCTTTGGTCTGGGGGTAGCAAAGGAGCGCCCACCAGATGATGAGGGCTGGGTGCTGGGCCTATCCTGCTCCGCTCTGCTCGCCTGGCGCCCCAGCTTCCAAAGCTCTGCAGACCCCGCGCTGAGCTTTTGGGGGAACTAGAAACCACAGGGCTGGCCGGACCAGCTGCTCTCGCCAAACTCACTGGCATTTCCCCCCTGGGAGGCCACCCCAGCTGGTGCTGCCAGTCAGAGGGTGGGTCAGGCTGGGGCATGCTGGGTGCCAGGAAGATGGCTGGCAATGCCACATACAGGCAGCAAGAGGGCAGAAGCGGAGGCACAGGGGACAGGCCTCTGCTTCCTGAATTTGCATTTCCATTTGTGTTTCAGATCCTCTGAACGTTGGGGGCTCTATTTACATTGAACAGTAAATATTTCTTTTTTTCTTTTTTGTTAATCCTCACCCAAGGCTTTTTTTAAAAATATATTTTATTGATTTTTTTACAGAGAGGAAGGGAGAGAGATAGAGAGTTAGAAACATCGATGAGAGAGAAACATCGATGGCTTGCCTCCCACACGACACCCCCACAAGGCTGGGGATAGAACCTGCAACCCAGGTATGTGCACTTGACTAGGAATCGAACCTGGGACCCTTCAGTGCGCAGGCTGACACTCTAACCACCGAGAACACTGGCCAGGGCTGAACGTTAAATATTTAAACGCATGCCTGTTCTTGAAGGGTTTGCTTTTAGTCAGAAGTTTCAGCTTCATGTTGAAACTTTTTATTCCTTCATTTATGTTTTAGTTCTGCCTTAGAATCTCCTTGGCAACAAATGCTTAT